AACAAATGGGCGGGGTTTTGAACGGTGACGGTGGTAGGTTTGTTGATCCGCTCGCCAAACTTGCCCCAGAAACTGTTCAGCATGAGCTTGGCCGTGGCCTTGCGACCAGGGTTTTTGGCAATGCTGGTAATGTCCAGTCGGATCCCCTCCCGTTCCTGGTAGCGATGAATGTATTCGCGTTTTTGTTCGAGGGTCTGACACCAACTGGGCCACCCCGCGGATTCTTGTTTCAACTTCAACCAAGTGTTCACGTAATTGGCGAAAAGACCCGTTTGGCGTTGTTCGGGGGGAAAATGCCAGACTTCATGGATCTTGATCATGGTGTACCCCTTTTCCACGGCTTTGACCAGCTCAGGCGTGCACCAAGTCCCACGTAGTGTACGATCCGCATCGGAATGAGGGCAATACTGGGTTCGGGTCAACATGGGTTGGGTCTGTTCTGTCTGGACACAGGCACGGCAGAGAGGAAAGGTGAGCTTTTGGCCACAGCGTACAGGCAAGACAGGGTGGAATAAACCAGCCGGGGGCAGAATGTCCACCGTAGCCAGACCAAAATAAGATGCCAGGGACTGGTCGGCGGGTTGGGTGATGATCTTGGGATGACCAATAGGGTAAGGGCAGTTCTTATTCACCCATGGGTACAAGGAGGTCACATCCACATAACGTATTTCCTCGCCCTCTTCAGCCACGGCATGGAGAGCCACCGCGCCGGTGCGTCCCCCAAAAAAGGCGTCACGGGGTTCCAGGGGAGCCACCAAATCAAAAGAAGCCAGAAACTGAGAGACAGCGGGCTCGTCATCCACCAGTCGGTCCCATTCACATTCCCACATTTCGAGGACGGTGTAACCTGCTCGGAGCAGAGCCATGCGTTTGGAGAGCGTGGCTTGATACAGTTCCTCCACGGTTCGATCCGGTGTGGCATAATGTTTGGCATCTCTCACGGGATAACAAGTGGGACAGCCATGGTAGAGACACCCATGAAATTCGTAAACAGTGCGGGTCAGAGGATCGTAGCCATCGACGAAATAACCATTCACGAGGGTCCGGACAAACTGCTCGCCCCCATTCCGGACATGTCGAATACGATCGGCACTAGCCCCCTCTTTAGGAATAAGGTGTTCTTGGTAGTACAACCATTGTAGGGCCTTGAGCGATTGATTGACTTGAGCCCTTCGCCACCCCTGGAGCGGTTCGACGGCAATGGTGTCAGGGGTCAAATGGTGCTTGCGCCAATAGAGATTGCAGGCACTGGCGATGGTGATGCATTTGGCCATGGGATTGAACCCAGCCTGCTGTTCAAATTCTTGCTGAAAGACTTCACATCCCGCTTTCAAGAGAGCCACATCCGATTTACAATACTCGATCATGTCTTGACGGAAATCAAAGCGCACGTTACGACGGACTTGATCGGCATGCCAACGCGTCAGTTCGTCTTTGTTTTTGGCCATCATACCCTCGGGATCGTAAAATTCCAAATCGGGGATGCGGCCCACATACTGTTGATGATCCGGGGTATTGAACAAATGCGGAAAGAAGCCCTTCTTTAATTCGGTCAAATTAAAGGTGCTGGGAAAGGAGGCCAGCGGCATAGGTAGGAAACACAACGAGTCAATGAATTTGACAGCTCCGCTCCTGAAGGACAACACTTTTGCGCCCACGGTCAATTGATCCACCACCTCGCGTTGTTGCTGGTTCAGTTCGTGCAAAATGAACATGCCATCAAACCCTTTCAAGTTGTGAAACACCACGAGAATGGTCCGCTCACCCTCGGTGTCCGGGAGAACCGCATGATCATCTAAATCATGCAAAAATTGTTGGGCACAGTCCTCTCCGTCCAATACATGAATAGTGGTTTCTTCACTAGACGAATAACATAACAAATTGGCCACAAACACACCTTCTGCATTCTGCATGGCTTCAAAATCGGCGTAAACAAACAGGGGAGGGGGTGGCGCCACCATGCTACCTCCCCCCTCCTCTGTGGGTTCAGTCTCTTCCTCATTCTCGACCACGGGTTGAATGTAACACTTATGGTATTGGATAGACACCCATTCGTGACACACAGGACATTTGGCGTACCCACACTGATGGCGTTGGTTAGGGACGACCGTGTACTGGGCCTGGCACTTGAGACAGGTTTTGATGGATTGACATTGCTGGCTGACCACATGATGACGTTTGCATTGCTCACCATAAAACTTGCGATGACAGAAGGGGCAATAATCTGTGGGGCGAGTACCACGCACATAATCTGGACAGTCAAATCGACCACACGCTTTGCAGCGTTTCCCTTGACAAGTGTGATGGGTCCGGTCGTTGGTGTTGAACCCTCGTTCACAGTCCACACAATAATAAGAGCGGTTGACAAACGCAGGAAAAGACGTACAACCATCAAAATGATCGTTGGATTTCAGTAAACGAATCTGATGGGGGGCATCAGGGCCTTTGAAGATGAGAAAAAACGGTTTCATCCGGGTCATCACCAAGAGTTGATACTGAGACCCCAACGCCTGTTGGAATTGACGGAGTTCGGGTAAACCACAGGGACCCTCCGCCACCCCCGCTTGCTGATGGAGGGCCTGGGCTTGACGTAACTGCACAGGAAGCCCCCGTTTGAGATTCTCCCAATCGCGAAACCCATCCACGCCTTGATCTTTATGGCAATGAGCTCGCATGGTGACAATCGCGCGAGCACAGCATAGGGCATCTCTGTTTTTGATAGTAATAATGCATTTCTTTTTCTTATTCTCTCGATCCAGGCATAGACGTCCGGCATTGCGTTGTTTACGATGGCCTGTTCCTGGACCGGGCATAGACACAAACACCACATCCACTTGGAACCCACGATCAGGGTTGAAGGCTTCATTGCTGTTCAACTTGCCGGCTAACGTCGCTAACATTTCATCCAAACGGGCGGTACGTTGTAAAAACTCCCCCACGGTAAAATTGGCGGTTTGGTAAGCATGAGTGAACCCATGCGCCGTGATAGCAAAATTCACAAAATGATGGGCAGGTCGCTGCTCGCGGCCCAGTTCTGTTTCAATGGCTTGATGGAGTGCTTCGGTCAAGGCCATGCCAATATTGTCTCCAGGGACAGGATCCCGCAATTGCCGTAATTGCGCATTGAATTGCGCCCGCTCCACCACATCACGCCAGCGGCGTCGTCGACCAATGGGTTGCATACTGAATTGAAAGAGAGGGCCACGGGCAGCAGCTCCTCCCAACTGTTCCCACCGATCATAGGCGCGGTCCAATAGAGCATCCCCTTCGTCATCATCACTGAATGGATACGCCTCCGCCATGACAGCGGAAAACCATTTGAATTTTCCCGCGCTGGACGTAGACTTTTATAGACCTTCTCACGTGATCTCGCCTGCGCTGGGATTGGTGGACCCAACTCAGGTGAGAGTCAGGTGAGGGGGTTTGATCGACCAGAAGAAGATCAAGGGGGGTCCCCCCCATGGGTACAGACTCCTTCCATCGCCTCTAGGCCTGGACCGAGATCGATGATTAGTGGAGGGAACCCTAGTTATAGTCCAACGTTCAGGACAGACGTCAGTATGCGTTCGAGAATGCCCAACAAAGATCCTGAAGAGAAGAAACGCTTGAAACACGAATGGTACGTCAGGAATAAGGAAAGATTGTTGCAGCAAAAACGTGATCGGCGGGCGGCCCAGAAAAAGGTGAAACCCTCCAAACCGCCTAAACCAGCGCCAACCCCCGAACAGGAAGCGCAAGCCCGAGAAGCCAACCGACTAGCCTGTCTGCGCTACCGCACCAAGAACGCGGCCTACGTGCGTTTATTGAACCGGGATTACTACCAACGGCACCGCGAACTGATTGTGCAACAACAGCGGGACCGACGTGCCCAGGCTCGACAGAGAACTGAGAGTCCCTTCCGAAAGTTACGAGCCTTGGCGGACGTGTGTGCTGCCCGATTGCTAGAGTTAAACCATGGATACACCCCACTCGCACCGAAAAAAGCGGGACCCCGAGAAAAACAAGCTTCAACAAAAACGGTATCGACAGCGACAGTATGCGGCTGTCAACGGCATCGAGAATACAAAGGCCCTCAACCGTCGACGCTACCACGAGCGCATGGCGCGCATGAAAGCCAATGGGGAGTACGAGGCCTTCAAAAAAAAAAAGGTCGAGTATGGGATGAAACGCTACTATGCCATGCCGGAAGAACAGCGAAATGAAGTGAAAAAGAAGAACGCGCAAGCCCAAAAGAACTGGATGGCGAGAATGAAAGAGGAGGGGATCTTCGAGGCCTACAAAGAACGGCTCAATCAACGGCGGCGGGCGTTGCAAGCCGAGAAAAGGCGAGCTTTGGGCGAAGAGGGGTGGAGAGCCTTGCAATCCAAAAAGTACCAGCAACGGATGGAATCGATTCGGCGTCAACGCTGGCAATGGTTGGACGAGCAATTAGAACGTCCCTTTCCCCTCCCGTGGTTACCATTAGACTGGTCCGACGCCGAGTTTGACGAGGACCCTGTCCAATCCACTCGTTCCAACGGGTTACAACAAGTGCAACACTATTTGTAAGAACAATGTGAGTTTTATTAAAACATGTGTTTTAGATCATTCCATCTTGTAATGACTGTGTTTCACTAATTACATGCCCAATCTCAGTTTGGTTTTCATAATGCGTCTCACAATACGCTCCGTTAGGGTTTTACTGCCAGGGAGTTGATCAATCTTGGCAATCATCTTGCGATCCGCCACCCATTTATCTTTCAACGTCTTGGCTTTATCATAGTCCATGTCATGCACTTTCGCAATCCTGTCTAACCGGTTGATGCCAGGATCCCCACGGGCCAAACGTTTTTTCAAATGGGTGCCAGGGCCCATATACTGATAACCGGGCCAATGAAATTCAATGCCCGTCTTGTTGAGGAGGTTTTGCACATCAAATAACTTGCCCCCGCGTTGCGATCGTCGTCGGCGTCGCCTCAGTCGGGCACGGGAGGTAGCCGTCGCACGACGTCTCCGTCCCATCACGGGGTTTTCCACGATTTCCAATCCAAGGCTTTCTTGGCCCACCCAGCAGCTTTCTTTTTGGCGATACTGGTGGCTTTCTTTTTGGCAGCGTCCGTCGTGCGTTTGCGAATATCACGCGTGACCGATTTCGTGATAGAGTCCGCCCGTTCTTTAGGGGTTTCCCAGGGTGCTGTACCGTGCGTGTCTGAAAAAGGCAACTCGTGTGCCAACTCAGCGCTGCTCGGTTGAGGCGTAAACTTGAGTTTCTTTTTAGCACTGGGGGTGATGTTCGGTTTAGGCGGGACAGGTGGTTTTCTGGGTCCAGCCGGCGTGGACCCTTGTTTTATACCTTGGGTGGCCTTGACCAACTGCGTGAACCACGCTTGCATCGGTCCCGCCTCAAAATCATCATCCTCGCCAGGCGTGGCAGCTCCTGCAGCGCGCACACCCCCCGCCGGCGCTCCAAAGGGTTGACGCACTTTTTTGGTCCAATGGCGTAATTGACGGCTCACGGCTTTGAGTTGCGGTCGTTTCCAGGCATCCGGGACCTCGCTGGTCAAGAGCACATGTTGTCTGGCCGCCAAATCCGCGGCTTTACTCAAGCGAGTATCTTCCACCAATTCTTGTTTGTACTTTTCTTTTAATTGTAAAAAAGCAGGGGCGTTGTCCACCGTGGTGCTCACCATCTCGGGTTCCATAGTGCAACTGAGGTGTCTTGTCTAGCGCATGCAACGTTTATAACATCGGTAGAGTTCAGGCCAGAGGGCGCCGCCTGTTTGAGCCATCATGATAGCGCGTCGTCGTTTCACCGAATGCGCGGGTTTGGCCATGGCGCGTAAACTCTGGGCATGAGGTTTGAGCAACGTGATGGTATGTCGAGAGCGGGGCACAGTGCCACGGAGCGTGTTCATCACCAATTCACTGATGGCATTGATCTGATCCGCATTCGCCATCCGCAACAATTCTTGTCGTTTATGTTGATTGGCTTCTTGTAAGACACTTTTCAAGAACGGGGCTTGACGTTCCATGCGCCACGCCATGCTGAAGGTTGAGGAATTGCCACGACCCAGCTCTATTTATGGTAAATTGGGCCCCACACTGGCGACACAGTTCCCCATGATAATGCTGTTGCATATGACGTCGACATCGCTGACACAACGCGGCCTCAATCTCCTCCGTCCACTCTAGCGACAACGTAATGGCTTTACGGGGGGATCTAGTCCGGTCGACGAACACGGATCCTGGGTTTGTATTTCCTGAGCCACAAAGGCGAGAGAGCCATTGCCAACAGCGGTAGCCTACCTCCGCGTTGCAGACCGCGTCGACGACGTCGCTTTCGGGGGACATAACGGTGTCGGCGTCCATTGGGTCCACGGACCATCGTTCAACTAACGCCTGTTCAGGCCCACGAAGGTCTTTTTATACATTTTTATTACATGATGGAACAATTAAATGATTCCCCCGCATAGCGTTTGCGTTTGCCGGATTCCACGTCTCGTCGGCGTTTGTCGGCAATTTTGATGGCTCGCTTTTGTTGATGCTCCCCGATGGCTTTAGTGGCCCCATAACCGGCTTTGAGAATCCCGAGTGGCAGGCCAGGCGAGACACCCCCCACTTGACTATAGGTCATGCGTCGTCGTCGTTTGGCGGGTCGGCGACGCCGAGTCGTGGTGCGCTTGCGTTTACGTTGGGGTCCCATGACAGTTCCAAGCACTGACCACCGCCAGCCTCTTTTATACATGTTCACATCACACTGCACCCCGTTTTTTTGGCGTACCCCTTCTTGACCAACCACGTGTTGTACGAATCCCTCGTACCACTGGCACGATACTGGCGTTTGTAGTCGGCCACTTGTCGTTTGGCGGACTTGATTTCGGCTTTGGAAGGTATCTTCCACGTTTCCGGGGTTGTCAACAACTCAAACCCTTTCTTGAAATTCACCATGTACGGCACCGTCCCACCCTTCATCTTGCGTCGACGTCGGGTCGTGGTGCGTTTGCGTTTGCGTCGAGGGGCCATCCCACTTCGAAATCGGCCACACATGGTTTTGGGACAGTGGAAGGAAGGCTCCTGGTTTTATATCTTTTTTGTTCACGGGCGTCGACCCCGTCCACGGGCTCGGCCACGACCACGGCCACGGCCTCGGCGGGGTGGTACAGGGGGTGGACTTGGACTGGAGGTTCGCGTCGAGGTGCGGCGCACGGACGGTCGCCCTCCCTCTTCATACACGGTGGTCACCGTATTGGTATGCGTGATATTGCGAATGCGTCTCCCTCGCGCCCGTTCTTGCGCATCTTCATTCAACAAATCCAACCGTCGCCTTAAGCCTCGCCGTCGATCGTCGTCATCATCATCTTCATCCTCATCCTCCGACGGAGGGGAAGAATCCGGGGACGGTGGAGAGGGCACGCGGGGACGTCGTCGCGGTTGTTTGGCGGCCACGGTGGGACGGCCCGTCGGGGTCGTCACCGTGGAAGTGGTGGTCCTGGTGCCGGCTCCAGCACTACGTCGAGAAGTGGAAGGGCGGGAGGGAGCCGTGGTGGTCGTGGCGGTGGTGACAGGGCGTGGTCTGGGTCGTCTAGAGCTGGTAGTCGTGGTGGTGGTGGGGCGGGTTCGGGTGGACGTCGTGGGACGGGTTTGGGTGGCTGTCGTGGTAGGGGCGGTTGTGGTGGAGGCCGTGCCTGTACCTGCCACGGGGGGTAACGTAAAGGCATTCAGGGCATCGTCCACATTGACCGGGTAGGTCAAATTAAAATCCTCAATCTCTTGATCCAATTGGGCTCGATTCACGGGTTGGGTCAATGCCGCCACCATGTCCGTCATGGTACTGAGATCTGGGGGAGGGGCGGTGGGCGAACCCACCCCGGCAGGCGAGAACGTCGGGGTGTCCATGCGGACCGATAAATCACGTTGTTGTCCGCCTTCTCTTTGCCGACGGACCCGGGCGAGTTCTCGTTGCAGTTCGTTTTCGAACGGCAGGGACATCCACGGGCAGGGTATGGACTTGCGCCTTGCCTTCTCGGCGCGTTAAATGACTCCACAAGCGGTACCGATCATCCGACGCGGGATGCACATCCAACATCAAATAGCCAAAGGGACGGGACGTGATGCGTTTAAATAGGCGCAAGACTTGACGCCATTTGTCGGGAAAGGCTTGCAGTAAAATGGTGCGTATGCCCGTTTGATCCCGGGGATTCTTGAAGGCCACAATGTAATGCGCGTTGCGATTAATGGTCTTGGCAAATTTACCCGGTGGGAATAAATCTTGCGTCAAATACAAGACGGTGATGTTGCGATGATGAGAATCTTTGGTGAACAAATCCAACACGCGTTTGTCCTGTCCCCCTTCTTCCATTAAATCGTCCAACACCAGCACGCCGCCACGCGTCCGGCCAAACCATTGGGTTAAATGACGGGGGTCCGGTAACCCGCGATGAAATTGAATTCCCTCTTTCTTTTGCATACGATCAAACCGGGGTTGCCATCGGTCGTACGCGTAGACGATCTTGTGGGGTTTGACTTGAAACACGTTGAGGTCCCGTAACCATTGTTCCACTAACTCGCTCTTGCCACTGCCCGACGGGTCCGCGATAATCACACTACTGGGCTGTCGAATCATCCTTCCCACGGTCGAGGCAGACGTCGGTAATGACCCGTGGCCCCTTTAGCACCCATGCGTTTATACCGTTTGCTACGTCCCAATTTATAGCCGAGTTTGGCCGCTTTGGCCAACACGCTCATGATGCCTCGCCCGTTTTGACGAAAGCGGGGTCGTCGGGAGGAAGCGCGCTGCCGTCGTCGTCGTCTAGGCATGCCGTCCAATACTCGCGGTAGAGGCGTGGCGATTCGAACTGAATGAGCTGTTCCATCGTCTCTCTTAAATGCGTTTCGTTCATGGTGTCCATGTACTGTTTGAGAGCGACCCAATCTTGGTCTTGCGCCAGTTGGCGGGCTATGAGCCAATGGTACCCATCCCACGCATCCACCCCTTGGACGGTGTTCACCCGTTCAATGGGGTGGGACCACCAATACAAGGTTTCTTCTATCACGAAGGCGTCAATCACCCGCTGGACATCCCCTCGCGTAATCATGATGAAATGACCCCTCGATCACAACACATCTCGTTTTATGGTGTTTTTTTATTTTATTTCAACACTCACAAGGATTACAAAGCATAAAGGCCTGGCGGCTCACATTCTTTTGCCCTCCCTCTGGGCGGGCATCGACTTCATCTTGGACTTCCTGTTTAATCACCCGTTTCAAGCGATCGGCCACTTTCTGGTCATTCAACACTAAATTGTCGCAACTCCATTGCCCCAAAAAGTCTTGATAGGACTGGCCTTGGGCACGGGCTTTCAAGAAAAATAACGCATAATGGCCACAGTTCTGACTATCCAGGGCTTGCAACGTCTGGTCACTGCGGATCAGGTGTTTCCATTGACTCCACCATTGGTGCAGGTCGGGGTGGGTGTACACGTGCAGGGGTAACCCATAACTGTCAAAGATCTCGCACTTGTTCTGTTCCGTCCACAGACCCAACCAATGTTGTCCCGGTTCTCCCGCTGGATCCGTGTTGACAATGTAGGCTTGACGGACACTCTTAGGGGGTGAACGGGGTAACTGGTCGGCGGGGTACACGCCATGAAACACGCGTCGCAACGTGGGATCTTCTAGGGCCAACGTGCGCAGCACCCTATCACTGAGCGCCACAAACTCCATGCCCGGTGTCTTCTATCTTCTGATACCACTTCAGCCGTTGATGTTGTACTTTATACCTCCCATGTGATTGATCTCATACATGTTTTCATACTTGCTCCAGACCAACACGGTGATGTTGTGTCCCACCGCAGCCGCAAAATCAATGATCAGTCGCACATTGCCCGATTAACGGGGGTTGCGATACTGAGGATCATCGGCTTTTCCACTAGGCACATTGTTGAACAGGAACAACGTGCAGTTCTTGCCTTGTCCCCAATCCCCAGGCAGCAGCATGGGAATCTTATCTTCCTTGTAGGCACCCATGGCTTGTAGAAATCGATCGTACCCCAGGAGATCTTCATAGGCTTCTGCTCCAGTCAATTGCAGGGTTCTGTAAGGGTATTCTTCTCCATTCAAGGTCTGACGTATTTGGGTGACCCCAAACTTTTCAAAGGCAAAGGGGTAGCGTTGTAGGTTTCCATTGAAGGCATCCGAATGCAATAACCCGACCATCACTCGGTCAGGAAATCGACCCACAAACACATTGTCTTGTTCCCACTGGGTGGTGCGTCCATCAAAGGAAAAGGCGAGGATTTCGCTCCGCACCACAGGGTAGCGGGCAATCTGTTTGCCCAGCTGTCTTTCTTTCTGCAGTCTCACATAGACACTGGCATTCAAGGTCACTTTTCTCATCAGCAAGGTGACTTTGATGTCTTCTGGGTGAATGGCTGGAAATTTCTTCGCCACCAAAGTGCCTTTGTTGGGGGTACCTAGTAAGTAGACAGTGTTGGGGTTGAGGAAGAGTTCCAAGTCCATCTGGATATTGGGGACCAACAATTTGCCTGTCTTGAGGGGTGGCAAATGGGGACGGATGAGGAAGGTGTGCCAATGTTCAGTCAGCAATCGGCTCGTCAAGGTTCTCAATTCTGCATTCCCACTCCAATTGGCGTCTGTGGGGACATCGGAATTGGCAGCGGTGGCTCCCATGACATTCACCACA